ATCTAGCCGCATGACCATCCTTAAGCTTTCTTAACTCGCGAAAAGAATCAATGGTTTCTTGTTTCTTCTCAGCATAATAATTTAATATTAGCTTCTTAACATCAGACTCATTGCTGGGTAGTTTGAAGCCTTTGTGCTGAATTGAGTCTCGTATAAAGTCGCTTCTTGTGATTTGCCGTATCGATAGCCCATCTTTTGCGGCTAGGCGTGATATGATTTCGCCAAGGGTCTCCTGCTTTTGCTTTGTATAATTCAAGATAGTTTGGACCGCTGATTTAGATTTTTTAACCTGAGTAGGCTGGATCTCAATTATATTATCATCACGTTCACATGAGCTGGTTGAAGGTTCAAGTTCATTTACAGATTTCAAAGTTATGTTATGGATCTTGTCAAGGTGTCTGACTAAACCAGACGTATTAGAGCACTTGATTAAAAGCTTTTTGGGGCACTTAAGACACTGTGCGTCCATTTCACCTTTGACTTTTGTGAAATATTTCCATACTTTTGACCTCTCCTTCTCCATTATTTGACTCTGACTCTAAAACAAAAATAAAGTTATTTACACCTTGATTACCATTATTAACCATAAACAAAGTGATAATTATTTTTTATTTAATATTAATTATTAACCGATAGCAACTTGCAAGATCATCTGTTAAATCGTGCGCACTGGCAGGTCTGGCAGCCACCGCGCTGTGCCGTTCGGCATCGGAATAAATCAGAATGTTATCTATCAATAACAACATCATTTAATATGATAAACAATCAACCGATAAATAAATAAAAACATTTTTCACTGTTACTGATATTGGCAACATTTGAGATTTGACACTAGCGCAAAAAGTTGGAATACAAAATGCTACCTTTGTCTGAAAAATAAAAAAAATCACGCTTTGCCCGCGCGCAATATAACTTTGTTAATAGCTGTTGTAAAAACAAGTATACCCTTGAATCTACATAACCGCGTTTCAATTAGTGTCTCCCAACACTGATTAAAAATGCTAGCAAAACAAACAAAAGTCTACAGAAAAGGCACGGATAGCGACTTGTTTACGAATATGTAGTAACGAAAATGCATGCAATAACTGGTTTATTAATCTTATTATACAAATACTTTGAGAAATAGTATTATCAAATACTTACATGAAACTGTCGACGCTCTGAATTAACCGTCTTGGACAGGCAGACCACTAAAAACGACCGACAAGAACGACACGAGCTTCGACTTCCAATCTGAGCGGGAGACTGACTGGCTGAGGCCTGAGCGTGGGTGGCGCATGGGGTGAGCTGGTTGGCTGACTGGTTACGTAATACGAGGGTCAAACTGAAAGTTCTTAGAAAATCAAAAACTGATTACATTAGCCAGTTATTAGTTTTATTATATCTTTTCAAAATATTGTCCATTCACGTCAATACACCGCTGCATGCGATGGAACCACTGGGAAAAGCACTTTGCCCACTCGTCCTTAGGGGTCTCTTCAATGGCATCGCGATACGCAGCCACCGCTTCTTCAGCATTCATAAACCGCTTTCCTTTAAGTTTTTCTTTAATTTTTGGAAATAAATAAAAATCACAAGGCGCGAGGTCGGGGCTATACGGCGGGTGACCCAGTAATTCAACGTTTGATGTCGCCAAATAGTCGATCGTTCGCTTGGCGGTGTGCGACGAGGCGTTGTCGTGGTGAAGGAGGATCCTACTGCGAGGTCGTTTCTCTCGAACTTTTTCCAAGACAAGTGGCAAACAATTGGTACCATTCTGCAGAAACTGTTTTTTGATCCTCTAACACAATTGTTGCAAAATGACGTATCCTTCCAAAGAACGAGGCCACCATTTTTTTTCCCGCACTTCGATCTCTCTTCACTTTAGTTGGCAACTCCTCGAAAGGAAACACCCACTGAGCAGATTGTCTTTTGGTTTTAGGATCATAACAGTAAATCCAGCTTTCGTCACCTGTTAGTATGTCGAACACAGCATTTGAGTCACCTCCGTTAAATCTTTCAATCATTTTACGACACCAATCCACACGATGGAGTTTATGAGCCTCAGTCAAATTATGAGGTATCCACCGGGCGCAAAGCTTCCTGACCGCTAAATGTTCGTGGAGGATTTTGTGCACTTGACTCATACCGATGCCTAAGCTTGTCCGAATCTGTTGATAGGTCACTCTTTTGTCAGTCTCTATCATACGCCGCACAACACAGATGTTATCTTCAGTCGTCGCCGTAGAAGGCCGTCCCTCACGTAAATCATCAGTGAGATTAGTGCGACCACGTTTAAACTCATTAAACCAGTTGTAAACAGTCGCACGAGATGGGGCTTCATCGTGAAAGGCCAATCGTAGTCTATCATAACTTTCTTGTTGACTTAAATGACATCGAAAGTCATAAAAAATCATTGCACGAAAATTTTCTCGTGTTAAATTCATGATGACGTGACACAGACAATTTTCAATTTGCCGCCAAATCGTAAAACAAATGACAAATGAATGAAATATATACTCAGTAATATTGGCAAAGAGTTATATTTTCAAATTTTAGAATTATTTTTTTATTATATTGTTTATAAGTGGCCAGTTCTAAGAACTTTCAGTTTGACCCTCGTACACACGCATGGTATGCGTGTGTGTTTTTGCGTATCGCGTGTCTGTGTGAGTTAGTGAAGCCACAAGCACGCAGTGAACGCGAGTTGTTGTTACGCGGCGCGGGAAAGTTTGAATTGAATATTCTTTTTTTTTTTTTCAAGGCTCGAGAATTTCTCGAGTCTTGAGATTTTTTTCTCGTCTCGAACCAAGGCGAATTTCTCGAATCTTCACGAGCTCGAGAATTCTCGAGCAGAAACCCTAATTCTAACCCATACACTTCGCAAATCGGCGACTCTTCTCAAGTACTTATTATTTTCGCTACTAGTGAGAGTTTTTTATCATTTTCAGGCTATTCACTCAAACAGCCGAAATATATACTTAGAAACATTTTAAATTTTCCATTACGATGAAAATTTGTTATAATTGATAAATCTTGCGTAGGATGGATTGCCAAATTGGCTTATTAAATCCATAGAGAAAGTCCTGGGGATATTATTATAGCTATCCAAACAATTTAATATATACATACGATACAACTCCGACATCGACATTTCTTGACCACCATAATCTTTAGGGAATATTTCTCTGTCCACATAATTGTATAACTCTTCTTCATTTTTCGAGACATGGATGTGGTCACGGACGTCCTTATTCACTACTTCCTTTATCATTGATACAAAAGGTTCCACGAGATTTGATGTTGCCATAACATGTATACCCTTTACCTTGAAACCATAACAATTCTGGAAATATAAACTAATGATCAATAAAAATGTCTCGTAAGTTAAAACACCGATTGCTGGAAATAACTAAAACAGAGAATATTCTCAAGAGAGGTTGTACACTAAAAACTATCTTTCGATTTATTGTTAACTTCATTGAGTTCTGTCCTGCTTTATGACATTAAACACACTATAAAACAGGAGATTCATCATATATGAAACGTAGATTACAGTAAGTCTAAACGTAGTTAAGAGTACAGGACCAGAAATGGATTACATTGTAGTGATCGGATACCACTTTAGTTTAATATGTGCTACTTTGTGTGCAGTACATCCATACATTTTTTATATATATCTACAGAATCTACTCTAATTTTAGGATAGCTATATTTCTTTTCAGGTATAGCTCCACTTTTGCTAGTAATCTTATAATTTGGGGTGTAAATTTACTTACCAATATAATATTAAATGAATGCCCGAAATCGGTTTTCTCCAAATATTTATTGAACTGGATGAGATTTGTGTCTCTGAAGTCGTAAACCAAGACCAACCCCCTTGAATAATCGTGAGCGCAAAGATATTCTAACAGCTAGAAAATAATATAAAAATAAATTGAATCCAATATTAAATTTAAACAAATTCTGACAAATATAAAAAATCATGGCTAATGCAACAGAGCGCCGAAATATCAGGAACTCGTTAAATATAAGGTACATGGTAGTAATTCTGTAGAATATAAAATCTTTAATCATTTATTGTTACTACCACATAATTTAATACTTCTATCGCTTGTAAATTTTAGTATCATGGGTTTTGGAATATACCGAAGAATTCTATTATAATGTGTATTTCTTAACCAGGTGTCTTTTCTGATCATTTTTTTGATTAAAATTTACGATGAAAGGACTTCTTCAAATTTCAAAGATGCTTTTACAATTATATATTGATATTAAAATTTTACAGAAATATAAAAAAAAACCGAACTAATGATTTTTTGTAAACGTTTTCCTACTAGGAACTACACTAGTACATTTTTTGTGAATTAATTACATTAATTGTGAATGCAAAAATTAATAAAATGTAGGTATATATTAGAGCACATTTTTTAAAATTTCAAGTGTTTGTAAAAATATTTATTTCAGCTGTGTAGAGAAGTTGTATACTGTGTTTCAAAAATATGTTAGTATAATTAAAGTCAAATTTACATTACGAAAGCAGTTTCATGAAGCTTATTTCTGTACATATTTAACTACTTTCATAATGGCATGCAATCAATAATATCTCCTGGAGACTGGATCTGTCAACATCGAAGGTTTAATATGCGCGATGATGTAGCGATACTGGTCCGCCATTGAAATAGTTTCATTAAAAATAGGCGCATTGCACGAAAACACTTAAGTGGCGTGAAAGTAATGCACGCGTTGCGAAAGTGAACCTTAACGCGTGCAATAAGTATTTTTTGCAACTAATATTGTAAAATCCGGCTTAAGATTTTATATCAATTGATTAGAACAGCCACCTAACACTGAATTTTTTTAAGTATTTCTCTTTATATGCCTATTTGTTTTGTTACTAATTTTCCGCTAGCAGTTTCACCCACTTATTATACATATTATTTACCTTCTTTTTGAGTCACACTGTATATTGATTAAAACCGAATTAAGAAGCGACAAAGCAACTTAGTTTTACATTTAGTTCAATTTGAAGTACAAATTATATAGATGGATATACTTACATAAGACAGACGTTTGTAATAAGCATCATACATTTCAGGATTATACTCTTGTATATGGTTTTGTACAAGATATACTCTATAGTAGTCTTTCGTCAAGTTTGGTAAGAATATATTTCTACTGTAAAATTAACATTCTGTTAGAATAAACGAAAGAGCAAAATCTACATAATTAAACCGAAAAAGAAATAAGCTAAACTTTTGAGCTTTTTAATAGTTTGACATCCATAAATTTACATCACCCATTTATTAACTTGAGTGTGTAGTAACGCGTCGTTACCTTCCTTAAATGAATTTCCACATGCTGTAATACTTGAGTATTACAATGTAATATTTTACTTAATTTTTTGCTGTTGGTACCAAAATGACAACTACGCCGAAAAGTTTATTCCAGAATTAAAGCAATTCTGCAATTAGAGCAAGGGCCAAAGGATTTTTATGCACATATATTGCTGGTGAAAAACATATATTGCTGGTGGTGCGTTTTGGTAAAAATAGATTATTGTTATGTCAGCAACATGCGTTTAGTAAGTGGGTGATAACAATTGATCGTCGGGTTCGAGGGTATTTCAATCGAATAAGCACAGCTGCCCGATCCTTCTAATACTCTAAACTTCTAGTGAACAAACGCGTAATTTCACTTTTTGGTATCACCATAAAACTTGCCCAAACTTTTATTCGCTACGTAAATATAGTAAATTTTGTGAACATTATCTAAAATAACATCAGGCGTAGTTTATTTACCAAATACAATTCCAAAAAAAATATTACTTATCTACAAGATGAGGTGATGCAAAGTCATAATTGGCGAAGAAACGTGGTAATAATGTTCTTGTTGTACAAAGATTATCAAGGTATTTTTTCGCATGTTCTACGAAACCCCCTGCTCTTACAATAGCTCTCTCTAAATAGTCGCGACCTGGTAGAATAAAAAATAAAATAAAGAACATACTTTGTGCATTGAAGTCGAATAGAATTTAATAATTTTTATATTACTCCTGGAAATTCATGGTCAGATCCAAGATTTTATATATTAGATCCGGCGTTATGATTGTTTAACATTTTCCATAACAAGTTGGTGATCTAAGAATCAACAAATATGAGATAACAGCTAAGCTAAATCCAAGCTAAAGCCCCCGCATTTTAGAGTACAAACGACAGTGAAGGTTTCACAGCATTTTCTAAATTGACCCGACCGGGAATCGGACCTCAGAGATGACAACGTCTTGAAACTGGTATACGAACTACTCCGCTGTGAAGGTCGTTTGTGAAGTTGTCTTATATTGATTTATCATTTGTTTGTAATGTTGGGTCTAATTACGCTAATCATTGGCCAGTAAGATTAAACTGTATACAAATCTTCCAACTTCTTTCAAATGAATATTCAAGACATCTCAGTTATTATCTAGGCAAATATACTTACTGTAATCCTTTTTAGTGAAATGTTGCTGTTTCTGCAGCCACGACTCGAGGGTATCAATTGCTTCATCCATGGATCCTGGTTGATCCAAATTACATGTTTTCCTGACATATTGCAATGTGTTAGGATAAAATTTTAATAGTGTATCGTCTGGTATATACTCCATTGTCGTACACTCTAAAAACTTAATTAAATATAAATTATTGGAAAAAAATTAAGTTCCGAAGTAATATTCAAAGCACTGGTATGGTTAAAACTATTCGAAATGTATCAGGTGCACTTGTATTTAAATAGTAACAGTAGGTGTTTAAAGTATATCTATGTCACCTTGACAATAAAAATGAAGCAAAGGTAACAAACATAATACGAAGATAATATTAAGATCAAAACAAAGAATAATATTATGTATACCTACATCGCAGGCATTGTGCATTTGTAAATGTACTGTTACGAGCTGGGGTTCGGAATGAAAATTCAAACGCCAGTACAATTTACTGACACTTTATTAAATAGGGGCCGAGGTAGATTTTATCACGTCTAGAGTTATCTAGGTTAGGACGTAGAACATTCTGGGCCATACCGGTGTAATTGCGACATTACCAAATTTTTCTAAAACGACTACCCATTCCTTTCTCGCCAACGTTTAACAATACGCTTTAACTTTGACGGCAAACCCAGCTGTAAAAGTATGAAAGGAAGTATGAAAAGTATTAAAAAGACTATGAGAAAAGTACCGGCGACAAAACTGGAATGAAAGGGAAAAGTAGACTTATTACGTCCTGCTGTTGAGTGACGAGCGGTTGGTGCTCGGCCGTTGATTGTAAAACCGGCCATTAAAAAAAAACTCCACGCATATTTTCGATGATGCTAGTGCAATTATAATGACACGTAACTCCAGACATACCTGACTTCTGCTATATATTCTCCTGACACAATAGTTTCCTCATTTAAATTCATCGCTATGAAAATAACGATTAAATCCCTAAACACCATAAAATTATAAAACAATTAGGTATCATAAACTTTTTATTGCTCTATAAACTTAAGCTTAGTCCGTAATAAGATGAGAAGAAGAGAAACAGATTGATTTTCTGTTAGTCTAATACTTTTGCTTCACTCATATTTGTCATATACATGTTATATTCCTTAGAGCCCAATACATCCAACCACTTTTCTGTGAACAAAATATTATACCTTTGCTTAGTTTTTTAAGTATGTGAAACCATACAAAAACTACAATATCGTACATACATTGACTTGAGATGATTTAAGTAGGTATATAAATTGATTTTTATGCAAAGGCGTAGAATGAGTGACCAAAAATTTATCATTTGCGTTTCTTCATGCTTCAAAGGCAAGTTAAGCCGATGGTCCTAGCTGATTTTACAATGTTTTATTTTACTTATAGAGATACCCGTCGCTCCATTAGCAGGGATGATAATGTATGTGTCTACCCAAACAATTTCATATCTTCTTACGAAATAACTCCGACTTCGATATTTCTTGACCACCATAATCCTTTGGCAAAATTTCTCTGTCCACGTAACTGTACAACTCTGTCTCGTTTTTCAAGACATGAATATGATCACGGATTTCTTTATTCACTATTTCTTTTAATATTGAAACAAATGGATCGACATTATTTGATGCTGCCAATATATATATACCTTTTATCTTGAAACCATAACAATTCTGGAAAGATATACTTACATATGAAGTTAAAAATGCTTGTAATTTAAAAACAGGTTACTGGAATATAATGAGGTAAAAACATTATCTCTTAAAAAACAGTCTCAACTCGAACCCGAACTCTGGCATAGATGTAATGTAATAAAACCTTTATTATCTATTGGAGTAAGAAGTATTTGATTGAACCTTTATGCTTTATGAGCGCTGCGTCGACTTGCTTGACATCGAGTTTAAGGAAAACTATTTTTTGTAATTATATCAACTTCGTCGAGTTCAAACCTACACTTAAAATACACTAGTTAGAGCAGTACATACAATATACCGTTTGTGAATTTTAAGATATATATATGTCGGCGCGAGATCAGAGTAACAAGAAATAACAACATTTAAAAGACTATTTTAAAATAATATTCTAACTGATTCTTTGTTTGTTTAAAGAGTAATTACTTATGTTAGTTAAAAATTTGTTTTCTGTGCTGTATTAAAAATGATTTCTTGATAAAAGATAGTTTACTATTGACGCAATTCAATGTATATTCCTTATAATTTTAATACGCTGTTAAATCACAAATGTTCGTCTGTTAAAATAATTCTAAATTATTATAATTATTTATAAACTGTACAATATAACAATTTCTTACAATTACGTTAGTTAATGTGAAAATTATTATTTCAATATTCGTCATACTATGGCTACGCCATCTAGCGTCAGACTTCCTGATATTATTAGTAATTTTGATTGTGTTATTTTGAATTAGATAGAAATAAAATATGAATATCTACGCCGATTTTCGATATATCCTTGGATTCATCGTATCGTATGCTCAGTATCTTCTTCTTAGTCTGTGCGTGTGCTACTGCGGTGCAGTCGGCGTTGGCGTTTTCGATCGAATGATCCAACGAAATCACTTTTGACATAAGACATCGTAACCTACTCTCTACTGCCAAATGACACCGATGAATTGAATTTGATAGACGACGAATTGAAAATAAACATCATATTTTTGATACTTCCAACGACATAGTATTAAGAATCCTAATTCTAATCCTAAAACGGTTTAGCCGGATACGTATGACGAGTCGGCCCCCAAATGGGAATCGATATTGAAACTTATGTTTTAATATCGACTTGATGTTCAAACACGATTTATGTACTTTTCGCGACCGACTTCCGCTTTGACCTTGAGATAGAGAGCAAAATATCCGTATGCTTGACTATTACTGAATGTGATATATCTCTGAAGCTAATTAAGATAAAGAAGTGAAACTAACGCGAGGTGTTAGGTTACATTACAGAGTATATCACATATATTTTTTATAATTTTTAGAATAAAAAATTACATTAAAAAAATAAAAATAAAAAAAACATGTTTTTTTTCTGAGTTCTCTGTGACTTACAATCACGAAATTAATAAATGTTATGCTCCTTTGTGTGCTCTATCACCCATAAAAATTGCGTGAAAAAAAAGTTGGTGCAACACAACGAAAAAAAATTATATGTGATTCGCGCCTTGTAGTGTGAGTGTATAAACAAACAAGTTCGAACTTGTTATCGAGCTGTTTACTGCATCGTTTGTTTAGCTAAAGTAGCAGTCATTTGTATTACACAAGAAGGCAGTTTGGGACTCAAATTCTGTCATAGGTATTTTGTATCAGCATTTTTAAATTATTAACTATCGAACCAAATCATTATTAAGTAATAATGTCGAGAAAGTGTAAAAATTGTAACAAGTACCTGTGTAAGGTTCCTGGTTATAAAAAAAATTATGAAGAATGAAGAAGAAGCTAAAGTGTTTAGTGACTGTTTGAATAAAATCGTAATAGTTAATGATATTTTTTGTAAGAAGTGTTGACTTATCCCATATATTAACAAAAAAGCTTCTACTTCTAAATGTGCAGCATTTAACTTGGCCGAAATAATGGACGATCAAAATAATCTCTCAGTACAATATGTGAAATCAGCACCTAATATCATCAAAGCAGAAGTAAAATCAAGACATATAAATAGAAAAGTCTATCGAATTTACATTCACTATACTTCCGAAGGTAATGACTACAATAGTATTCTTCGTTATTGCTGTGATTGCCCCAATGGCAAACGTACAGTGGGATGCTGTTCTCATGTAGCAGCTATTATTTATTATCTATCATATAGATGATATTTGTCCAAAATCGTACGTCCTGCTGAGGTCCTAACTAAGTTATTTGCGACTCAAAGTGTTCCGATTGTAATTAATTACAACAGTGACGATGATTAATATTTTGTTTCTTGTATTTTGATAGACACGAAAAAGTAATAATAATAAGTATTGAACACTGGCTGTTTTTTTTTTCATTTCTTTTTTAACTATTATCCCATCTCTTAAGACTAGTTACTTATGTTTTAAAACAAGCTGATGTGAAATTTCGAAAAAAAAAACAATGATGTAATGTGAAAACCTTATAATACAGGGGTATACCATAAGACAGAAATCACATATAATTTTTTTTCGTTGTGTTGCACCAACTTTTTTTTTACGCAATTTTTATGGGTAATAGAGCACACAAAGGAGCATAACATATATTAATTTCGTGATTGTAAGTCACAGAGAACTCAGAAAAAAAACATGATTTTTTTTTATTTTTTTAATGTTATTTTTTATTCTAAAAATTATAAAAAGATATATGTGATATACTCTGTAATGTAACCTAACACCCCGCGTTAGTTTCACTTCTTTATCTTAATTAGCTTTAGAGATATATCACATTCAGTAATAGTCAAGCATACGGATATTTTGCTCTCTATCTCAAGGTCAAAGCGGAAGTCGGTCGCGAAAAGTACATAAATCATGTTTGAACATCAAGTCGATATTAAAACATAAGTTTCAATATCGATTCCCATTTGGGGGCCGACTCGTCATACGTATCCGGCTAAACCCTTTGTTTTAGTTTTATTATCTCTTTGTTTCTGTTATAATTTTGAGCATTTACAGATATTCAATAGGAATTCCAAATATATAGAAATCTGTTTAGAGAGTACCACTCCAGGATATTTTAATTTAGAATCCATGGCAATGTGATAATGGTATAGCGACTCTTCTACTAGTATTGTTACAATTAAAGGTAGGTATATATGAATAACTTACCGATATAATATTAAAAGAATGTCCAAACTCAGTCTTCGGTATATTCTTGAAAAATTGGACGCGATTTGTTTTTCGAATGTCATAAATAAATATTAACCCACGTGAATAATCGTGAGCACAAAGATATTCTAACATCTGTAAATAATATTATATAAAAATATTAAAATAAATTGAATCCATGTCTTAATGTATTGTCATCACAACATAATTTATTGCTTATATCACAGATTGTATTATAAAAAACGGCATCATGATTATTTATGGTGAAAAAAAACTATATCAATTCTCTGACCAAAAAATCCAAAATCCCTACTCGAATTTGAATTTACTCATGTGTCCGAATCCATCTCAT